CTGATAACCTTTTATAATTTACCGTCAGTTTTTTTTTTTTTTTTTCTGGAAATAAGTGAAACTGTCAATCTTAATTTTTTTTCATGAACAAATCACTTCCTGGTTTTCTTGACCTTTTCTTAAAATCTGAAATTTGAAAATGTACAGGCATCTAATAAAGGTTAAAACCTTAAGATACTTTAATTTATTTAAATTCTAGTTTGGACACTTCAATGGGTCAAAAGTGTGAAGTAATGCTTCTATTATATACACTTCATTACAATTACATTATGACCAATGGACTCTAATTTTCCTGAGAAGATAGTAAACTGACTGGAAAGGTGTGAAAACGGCTCAAAAAGCTTTTTTAAAGAATGATATGGTCAGATGAAGTTCCACATTAATTTGTGACATCAGCACATAGCTTCCTAAACATCTCTAGCTTTTTTTGTGCGTTTCATCTGCAATTTTCACATCTGATACAAGTTATATTGTGTGTCAAGCTACTAAAGATTCAGTCAGGCTGCCAGGTCAGCGACATTTAGACAGCAGGTGTGAGAAAAAACGTACCAAAGTCGCGGAGAAATGAAGGACGATCCTATTGGACGTCTTGCTCTGACCCGGCCCACTTGGAATACATAAAAAGATGTTGGGTCCTGGAAAGAGAACAGTTGTTTTGCATGGTGCTTTGAACGAGTGCAAAATGTGTCTTTAGGAAAGTAAGGTAATCGGAGTTGCTGTTGTGAGTTCAAACTGTTAGAGGTATTCGAAGATTGTATATCCTTTTTATTGTATGTGTTTGCATACAGCCCAGTCTGGTGTTTTGTAGACCCAGAAGTGAGTCCTGAAGTGAATGTACTCCGACAGTTAGACCCTGTCGGCTGGTTAATAGGTGTGTGTCATAGCCTTGTGCACTGAACTCTACCTCTGCATTCAGTTTTACTTTTCTCTCCATTTTTATTCCTCTCTTCAACGACAACTCTAGGATTCTACAAATTCAGCTTTGATCATGAGTTGATCAGTTAGCTGTGACTTTTTTTTTTTTCATTGATATTTTCCACATCTTGTGTTATATTTTATTTTCCATGGCCATTCTGTTCCTGTTTTCAATTTGCCAACTTCTCTCTTTTTCTCTCTGTTTTCAACTATGATTTAAAGAACTGCTCCCAATTCTTCTCTTCTCTTAAGCAATGTTTAGTCAAACCTGTGCAAGGAATAAACTTTAAAACCTTGCAATAAACCCAGTGTATGTCTCTTTATTAATCTAATTATATAATGACTCCAGCTGAATAATGGTGAGTTTAGTTTATTGAACATGTCAGAAACAAAAACATACAATAATATATATATATATATATATATATATTCTCTTTTTTCCTTTTTTTTTTCTCACTCAAATTAATAATTATAACAAAGTACAAAAAAACAAATAATAACAACAACAACAAAAAAATAATTCTCAGATAGTCTCTGTCATGTTCAACAGGGGCAAGAAGAAGCTTAAAAAACGTTTCTGGTCCTACCCCCTCTAGCATATATTTTTCTTATAAATAAAACATTAGGTCATCGTCATCAGCGACATGTTTGTTTTGTTAATTTTTTTTTGTACAAAACAAATTAACAATAATAATTTCTTACCAAGGTATCACAAGTGCTTTCCGGGTAGCTGTCACAATTTCGATGACTGTATTGTACTCAGCAGGGTTTCATCTGTCAGAAAACATGATTTGAATGGTTTAGACTCTTAGAGCGAATGGTAATCCAGAGATTACACTCTGCTACTTTGTCACTGAGGGACACATTTAATCCTCCCTGTTAGCGTTGATTTGCATTTCAATTGCTGCTCTGGTAATTGCTCTACAAGTCGATTCAAAGAGATGAGGAGGTTCTGTGAGATTTAATGGGAACGATTGCCAAACGTCTCTTATGAACATGTGCATTAAAAAATATTGTCGGCGGACCCATCCTTGGAACCACATATCTTGGGTTAAAGAACAAATACAGCTCTTGTTTAATTTGACTAAACAAAATGACTTTTGGGTTCCGAAAGCATGGTTAAAGAGCCATGGTAGCCTGCCATTCTTCAATACACTAAACAATTAATGTAAGAGTTTGATCTCTAGCCAAAGTCATTCCTTTAGTGATGGTAAATATGCAATAGGGTTGGTTAAAGTTTGTGTCAAGCCAATTCTTTACACATCCAAATGACCTAGAGAAACATTTGCATTCATTTTTGAGCTTTTTGGCAACAGTATAGGCTAAGCCCTGTTTTTGTATTTTAGTACAAAAATCTCAACAAAGATCAACAGATCATTGCTAACTTGTTTCTCTCTTGTTTGGTGTTGTGCATGTAATGTACAGATAAACGTATTCCGGCTGTTGTTGCTAACACGATTAATGAGAGCGATGAGATTAAACCTAAAAGGTGAAATTGTGAGCCTAAAGCAATATGCGTAAAGACGCTTAAGTGCACTGTTGAGCTAAAGGGTGCTGCTGGTCGAATGCACTTATTGTAAGTCGCTTTGGATAAAAGCGTCAGCTAAATGTAATGTAATGCTATGACGAGTATTGGAACATGCATGTTTTAGGAATCCGAATGACTCCTAACACAAGCACATGGTCATTTTTCATCCAGTGTTTATCCAATGATAGAACCAGGTCAGATTCCTTAAGACTATAGCATTACAGTGTTCAATGTTGTTTGTGGGCTTTTGAAAGCCTTTCGAAATTCTGAGGGGATGTTTGAGTCACCCTATGTGCCTTGATAATGCAGAGGCTGTTCAGGTACAACAGTGAAATACCCCGCCCCACCATCTCCCTCACTGCTAATGGGCAAATGTGGACCAGCTGCGGGATCAGGTAATGACCCGAAGAGCAGCTGCTGGACTGGATAGTATGCATGGAAGGGACACAAATTGATCAATTTCTTATATTGCCAATATGGCGTCAAAGACTTGAAGGGTATTCACACTCTAGAACAAAAGACAAAATAATACAGAATAACCCAAGGCATGGGTGCTCTATTAGCCTATTAGTGTGAATGCTGTGCAACAGCATTACTGTGGTTATGATTTACTCCATCATAATATTGTTTCAATCTAATAAATGTCTAGTGAATCACAATAGAAAATGTGTGTTCTATAGTTAGCTGAGGGCATCTATTAACATCGGGAAAACATGTTTACAAAGAGCTGATTCAGTTAAAAATAAATACACCATCTATCTTCATCATTACAAACACAATAGCTTAACAAAAGCTCAACATATTACTGGGGAAATATAAAATGTGCTGCTGCAGGTCATCTGCTCAATCAGTGAAAGTGAAAACAGGTGTGCCTAATTATCCATAAGAAGCAGTCACTTGGCAATTCCAAGTAGTATAGGAAAGGGGGAAACCTTTTCAGTTGGTGACAGTGTATCAATGTTTGTGCACTTGTGTGTGAGCTTTTGGAAGCCAATTGACAACTTAACATGTTGATATTACTGTGACTAAATATATTGAAGTCATTTATTTCTTATTGAGTCATTTATTTTTAGATTTTTACCTCTTCAGCTCACCCTCAGTTCACCTCACCTGAGCAGATGGTATGTTCCAGTTTAAATAAGGAGGTCGGGAGTGGATCTCCTCTGTATGTATGCATGTGGCAACGAGAGTGTGCTGTGGTTTTGTTTTGGTGGTTTTTACTTTGCTTTTACTTGCATTTCTTGGGTTTTAGAGACAAATCCCCCTCCCCTCTTTCCCAATGTTCACACATCGATGTCTCTTTATATGCAAAGTCAGCTCCACAGACTGAAGTCAGTTTAAAGGGCACCTATTATGCAAAATCCACTTTTTCATGTATTTTATACATCAACATGTGTCCCCTCTGTGTAAAGAGATTCTGAAAGTTTCAGGAAAAAATATTTGCTCACTTTTTGTCCTGATCTATTTATATAAAAACCTGTCTGAAAATAAGCTGATCAGATTTCGGCCACTTTATGATGTCATAACGATTTTTTGGCTTGTGTAACCATTAGCCAATAACCAACCAAGGTAACCCTCCTCCCCCCACCTTATCACCTGAATCTCATCCTAGAGCGCCTTTGTGTTATTTTTAACCAAATATCTGTCAGAGGGGCGTGGGGAGGGGCTCCTTATTTTCATCTAAAGTAACAGACAGAGAATCAGCACTTTTGAAACAGGGCTGAAACAGAGGGGTTTATGGGATGCTACAATGCATGATCTATTTGGTATTTGGAGCCAAACACTTCAGAGACATGTTTGTATATATCTGAGACCTATAATATATTGATGAAAAACAGTATAATGAGGGACCTTTAAATGAATTGCAGGTACAGTTATTTATCTGTTTTCAAGTTTAAAGCTCAATATCACAAACTTTATTTTCAACAGAATCTCGTATATATCCCCAATATTAGTCTTTCCACCTGGTCAAAATGAGCTGTGTGGGATTCTTACTGTGAGCAAGAATGGAGGGGCTATGAACGTTGATCTGTAGTGATTATGAGTCAAGCCATGTGTCCCACCAGAGACCTTGTCTATGAGCAAAGTGGATGAAGCGAAATAAACTAATGCCCAGTGTAAAACCATTGTATGAGGGAGAAATGCCTGATGAGCATGTCATGGCATTTATTTTAAATTTGGAAATAATCTCAGAGAAAAGATAATAGTTTAAATGTGAAAAAAACGTTAACAACCTACTTGCATTTTAATAAATCCCCAGTCTGCATATCTAAATGATACCTTCACTTGTCATTGGAAGACACAGCAGTTAGTGTTTTTATTTGTTTAAGCTGACAGAACATGCTTGCCATTGTGCTTGAGAACTTAATACAGCAATTTGGAGTGAGTAAGCCTGGAGGCTTGTTACTCTCCTGTAAGGACGACCAGCGGCACCAAAATATCTCTGCAATGCCAGGACGGCAACGTGCCTTTGCAAGTGTGTTAAGAATAGACCCACAATAGGGCTCACTCCCGTCTTCTGTTGTCTTTGGACAGACAGTGGTCTGCAGGGGACAGAGGTAGATGTGAGACAGAATATTTACATGGGTCTTTAAGAGGATTTGGGGACTCAAATGGATCACTTTGTATTTATCCTACCAGGACCTGGCACATAGTCCTACCAGAGAGGGAGTGTGTCATACTTCTGAGTCACCGTGGAGGTTAATGTGCTACTGGAAGCCACTTTGGTGAAAGGTTAGGGAAGATAGGAAGTGAGGTGCTGACTCAAGGCTTTACCCTTACGCCTGGAACTGGAAAATAGAGAGGATTTTGGAGGGCCTTAAGCGCGGCAAGCATGACAGAATCAAGTGCCTCTGAGGTCATCTTCATCTCTGTCAATCACAACCTCACCTTGATGGGTGAGTTGACTTCCCTGACACATTTCTGCATTATGTTTGTCGGAAGTGAAAACGTATAGCTCACTTTTTATCCAAATGTGCTTACTTTTCAGGGAAGGTGTGGTTCATTGTGATGATCTTCCTCCGTGTCCTGATCCTCCTCTTCGCTGGTTATCCGCTCTACCAGGATGAGCAGGAGCGATTTGTGTGCAACACCCTTCAGCCCGGCTGTGCCAACGTGTGCTATGATCTGTTTTCTCCCGTCTCTCTCTTCCGCTTCTGGCTGGTGCAGCTCATCACCTTGTGTGTGCCCTACTTCATTTTTATCATCTACGTAGTCCATAAGGTCTCGAATGGCCTCACTGTGGATCTGATCTCCTCGGGTCACATCAAAGCTTTGCCGTTGTTCAAGAACCACCAGGAGTCGTTCAGCAAGACATCTGTAAACAACATGGCTGAGCAAGCGTGGGCCAGGCGCTTCACAGGAGCATATATCATCCAACTGTTGTTCAGAACATTGCTGGAAGCAGGGTTTGGGGCAGCTCACTACTACCTGTTTGGTTTCTACATCCCCAGGAGGTTCCTGTGCCAACAATCACCGTGCACTACCCAGGTGGACTGCTACATCTCCAGGCCCACTGAGAAGACTGTGATGCTCAACTTCATGCTCGGTGTGGCTGCTCTTTCCCTTTTCCTAAACGTGCTGGATTTCATCTGCGCCATCAAACGCTCCGTGCGGCAGAAGATCAAGAGAAAAATGATTGTGGAGAAGATTTGTGAAGAAGAGCAGTGTTTCCTTTCAGGCAGTGGAGCCACCAGAGTTATAGACCCAAACGCCTCCCTGGCTCAGCAGGATCAAGAGACTGAGGCTGGTCCCACAGGGAGTTTCCGAAAGAGGGGAGGCAGCAAGGGATCCTGCGCAGGGGGAGTGCTTGCTTTAGGTCAGGAACCCGCCTGCCTGGAGCGTGCCTCTCTTTCACACTACCCAGGCTGCAACACCAACGGAAACAACGGTTACTTTGTTACCCAGGAGGAGGCTCTGGAAAGGAACGGCAGTGAGGTGGCTCTATGCCCCCCAGAGCCACTGGGGACACCTAGATCCATTCGTGTTAGCAAACGCAACCGATTAAAACCGCCACCTCCACCAAGAAGAGATTTTGGGTCTTCCTCCAGGGAGGCAGCAAGGCCCTTTGGGGACGTTTCCACAGCCACAGCAATTTGTACCAGAAGGATGGGTCAGTACACGCTGGTTGAGCTGGCTAGCGGCACAGAGCTACAGACCAATGATGATGGGCAAGAGAAAAGATCAGAGTGGGTGTGAGTGGATTGCTTTATTTCCAGGTTATTTTGGAACATAAGGATGGGACAAATACATCTGTGAGAAACAGACAGAGATAGTCCACGGCTCACACAATGGTAACAACTGTTGGATCTGCCATCCTGCCATGCTCTCTACCTCTTTTCAAAATGCAGACTGCACTACCTACACTTGAGGAAAATCCAAACCTGCTATGCATCCATCTTAGACTCACAAGGTATAAGGATATGTGTGTCTGTTGTATAAAACAATCAGATCACATTTCCTTTGAGGAGCGCTAGCTGACTGATGACCAGAATTCAAGTCGGGAATAGGACCCTCTTAACAAAACAAGTCAAGAATAACAGGACACCCTAGCCTTAAGCGTCCTTGAACAAACCCCAACCTTGAGAAAATCTAAAAGAGTGTGCCCCACCTGTTTCTTCCCTTGTTGGCTTTCACCCCACAATGTCCATAAACAAAGACATGCCTTGACCTGTCCTACAACCCCACCTCCAACCACAGACTATATGATACCACCATCTCCTTTGTGTTTGGGTCACTTAGGTCAAAGAACAAGGGTAGCCTTGTGCTTGGGGGTTTGGATGACCTTTTGGAATAAAATGGTCAGGCCAAATATAAGGCAATAATCCGATAAAGACGGTGTTCTTGAGTTTATAGAATTCTTCCGTCAGAAGTGAAGGACACTATGAAGGCAGACATGGGCTCACAAAGCAATTATGTTACCCCATAGGGGCTCTGTATTTATGGAGACGGCTTGTCACTCTATTTCAGGGCCTCGCGGAGCTTAGGAGGAATACAAGCCTTAGCATACACTGTCACTCAAAATAGAGCACAGCGGAGCGCTGTAATGGAGCGGTGTTGCCTGTTGCCCTTCAGGATAAACGCTCTCTGTCGTCGTGGCTTTGGTTTCACCTTGATCAAAGCCACAATTCATTTTGGTATGACAGCAGCTCCCACAGTGACACATCTACCTTAGACAGTATACCGAATACAGTGGAGCTGCTGTGCATTTAATTAACTTGTTCCTTTGCTCAAATGTTTTTAGCAGCCATTTCCAGTTGAAATCCCTGGACTACCTTACACAGGTGATTGTAAGGAGACTCCCACAGTTAATCATCATAGTTGCACCTGCCTCTCTATAGCCGAGGGGCCGGCCTCTGTGTAAACAGATAGCTTTTGATGTTCCTCCTCTTGTGGTTTCTTTGTAGGTGACAACAAAAGCTCCCCTCCCTCATATCTAACCTATCTTTTGAGGGCTGCACCCTTAGTGTCATGAGAGTGACCACGTGGGATGTCCATGAGACTCAGCGGGTCTGAAGATGCCGCATCTCCTTCATACACTCATTGTTTAGTGTAAAAGTGTAAAAAAATATATTTTAAAGCCTGTTTGATCTCTTATCTTTCTATGTTTCATTGATTCTTGAATATTACAATGATGATGATGTAACTTTTCAAAGCACTTTATTTTTGTTTGATCCAGTACATTGTGCTGCGGTTGCTTCACCAATACTGTGGTGAAAGGATGCTGCCCTCCAGTGACGTGCAATGTGAAATGCTGCTTTATATTTTATCCAACACTTGAAATCATATGGGGGCAGTGGGTAATATGGCTAATAAATTGGTTCCTTTAATATTGTGTACAACAATATTCCCTAAAATCCTCATATACCGGATACTGCTACGATATATTATTCAGCTAATCCAAATAATAGCCTGTAGTAAGGCTCAAACACATGTTATTATCAGATAACTAACACTATCTGAGTGCTACCTGCATTATTGTTGGTAAGTAAGCACATATAATTACCATGACAAACAAAATAACTATTGATAGTTGCTCAAATATCAGCCGTCCCTATCCTGAGCCTTGCCCACCACCTATATACCCTCTGGCATTGTGATGACACATTTGTGCATGTGAATATTTGTTCATAAATATTTTGGTTGTGAAACTTTTCTTCAATAAATCATGTAGAAAAAAAGAGAAATTCCTTAAATACCTGTGTTTTTTCTAAACAGTTATTCACGTTGCCATTACTGACAAGAAGACATGCAATGTCACTATTCGTTCAAAAAGCGGCATCTTTTTTTGTGGAATTCAAGGGCCTGTGTTTTCTTCTTAATTCTCTGTCTCAAATATCAGAGACCCAAGAATTTCCCTCGAGGACAACTCCATTAACAGCATGTGGTTTGTAGTGCAATCACGTAGCGCTGGTTAAGAAACGTGTTGTTGACTCACGAGCTGCATCTATACTGTCAGTTAGTACCTCAAGCTTAACGAAGACTTCTGAAGTTCTGTCACGTGCTGTGTGTGTAGGGATGTAGCTAGCAGGATGTATTGCAGGATTTATATTGTTGCATAGACTGTTTGTTTCTAGCATAGAAACTAAGTTTGTCTCTGCATTACCATCGTTTAAGCTCACAGCGACAGTATTTACGACATCCAGACATACTAGTTTGCACTTTTTGTAATTAACGTTGTGTGTACAACGCTGAACCATTAGTAACCAGCATTTCAAATATGTAACGGTATAGCTTATTAGCCCGGCATTCCTGAATTTTGTCTTTCTTCATCCCAGTAATCTATTACATATTACTGTTATTTGTTACATGGAACTTCATTAGCACCTGTGGCTCCTGTGCTTCATTGTTGGTGCATACAATTACTGTTACAAAATAACGTACTCTGTGCTGTTTCATATTACCCCATGGCATTGAAATAACATTTGTTTTACACCTGCTGTGTGCATAGGGGTGTAGCTAGCAGGATGTATAAGCAGGATGCATATTTGTGCATAGACTGATTGTTTCTTTGAATATAACTAAGTGTGTCTCTGCATTACCTTCATTTAAGCACACAGCAACAGTATTTAGGACATCCACATATACTAGTTTGCACTTTTTGTAATTAACGTTGTGTATACATTTAATTTTATCATGTAAATTCATGTAATGTGTCGTGTTTGCATAAGCTGTTACATATTAGTCTTAATATTATTGTTTGTTACGTCAAAATCGATTGGCACCTGCCACCTTCAGGGGGCTGGGTTATTTCGTTTATGTCTTCAATAAACTAAATAATGTCTTCTGGGGTGTATAAAACAAGTATGATGGTTGCAAAAACCTGTTTTCAAAATGCACACAAACAGGTTAAGGCACCTCTGCAGACATTTGTATAAACAAACTCCCTTTGGTGTCCTGGTCTTAGCATTTTCAATATTAAACTCTAATCTTTGACTTATCTTAACTAAGTCATTGTGTCCCTAAACCATCATTTATTATACAGTTCTTTATTAGCACCGGTAAGTCTTATTGGAGATATGCTGGCACGTGGGGCAGCAATTTGAATTTTTTCTTAAATGAACATACAGTTTGCAGGCCTCTTTCAGTGGTCCGTCCTTTGCAATCATAATACAATTATTTTTTTCAGGGCCATGTAAAATGTAAAGCAGAGAAATCTGGCATACCTGTTTTTGTTGCTGTGTCACATGCTGTTAAATATGCAGGCTGAAAGTAGCAGAGCTTCAGTTGGGAGGGTTTTGGGCGTCAATATAAAATCCAGAACTTGCTCTGTCTTTGTTTGTGTCTTAACTGAGTAGTCTGTTGTTGTCGTTTTATATTTGAGCATCCAGAAGAAGCAGGGCTTGAAATTCGGGCCAAAGCCATCCATACAGCCTACTTTTTTTAAACTACTTATTCCATTCCACTATGTTTGCTTATTTCATCCTACCATGGATCTGTGTTTTCTTCTTTATTCTCTGTCTCAAATTTCGGAGACCCAAGAATTTTCCTCCAGGTCCTACTCCATTACCCATACTGGGGAACCTTTTGAACCTCAGCGTGCACAACCCTATGAGAGACTTGGAGAGGGTAAGACGAACAAGTAGTAGTCACTTTTTATGGGTGTGAATTAAAAGCATTACTTTTTTAGAGCTTTCAACTGTGCTTTACCCTAGCTGAGGAAGTCCTATGGAAACGTCTACAGTCTCTTCATCGGACCCAAACCCATTGTAGTCATCAGTGGGGTGCAGGCCCTGAAGGAGGCTATGTTGACCAAAAGGTGTTGACTTTGTTGGACGGCCCCAAGACATTTTTGCCACTCACCTCACTGAGAACAGTAAGACGGATATGAAGTGTCACAACAGTTACTGTGTCAATGTATCATTGGTGCTCGAGTTGATGGCCTGAACTAGCTTGAACTCCCCCCCCCATTTGTTAATCATAGAAAGTTGGACCTGCGGCATATTACCATTCCCAGGTGTTCGCCTATCAGATTTAAATACGATAATAATACAGTGTATCTTTGATCTACAAAGAGCCCAAATATGATAGTTATACGCTGAGCTCGCAGCCCAAATTGACATGCAGTTTGTGAGAAGTTGTAGTTTTTAAAGAAGCGCTCTTTGTTGTGAGTAAAAAGTGAAAAATGTATTTCACGAGCAACAAAACAAACCCTTTAATACAGTACGATCGGCGGTTGTGTTGCTACTGCTTTACTTGTTCAGACATGACCAGTAGCTAATGTCAGCTAACGCTGACACGGCTGTGTAACTGGACAGTCTGTCTGCTGCCTTTCATTTTAATTATTATAATGTACATACTTGCATTTAGCATCTTGTGATTGTCATTTGTGGCTGCTGTTTAGCAAAATAAAAATGACCTTTTTAAGATTCTGATCTTAAAAACACCATGAGCCCATATCCACGCCTGTTATAGGACTAGTTCTGGCGGACTACGGTCCTAGCTGGAAGGAGCAGCGTCATTTTGCTGTGACGACGTTGTGGAATTTTGGCCTTGGGACAGAGTCAATGGAGCAAAGGATTCTACGAGAGCTGCATTTCACAATGGAAACACTGGAAAAGAGCATCGGTATGCTATCTATGGCACTTAGACCTCTCATTCTTTATTAGCACACTATTCATCTTTGCTACTGATGAACTGACCTTGCTGAGTTGTCATTGTTGCATCCATCACAGGTTCAACGATGAATCCTCAATCTTTGTTTTCTAATCTGGCCTCCAACATCATCAGCCTCATTGTGTTTCAAATCAAATCAAGTTTTATTTATATAGCACATTTATAAACGATTTTTGGTCGAGCCAAAGTGCTGTACATATAATAAAAATAGCCTACAGTAGAGACACTTTACAGCAAATACAACAGCACAGATTGTTCAGAATATCAGTATGAGAAAAACGACACCCTCTATCCTTAGACCCTCACATCGTACAAGGAAACACTTCCAGAGAAAACTCACAGTTTAAGGGGAACAAATGGGAGAAACCTCAGGGAGAGCAACAGAGGAGGGATCCCTCTCCCAGGACGGACAGACGTGCAATAGATGCCGTGTGTAAATCGAGGAGATAATACATTTTACAGCATATAGACCGAATGTTAGGAAATGCATGTGTCTGTAATAAGAAGATGAATCTACGAAGATGTCAGCTACAATCCTGTGGAAGCCATCAGGGAAGCAGCAAGACGAGACCCAGGCAGGACCGCAGAGACAGGTTCAGCCACGACCCGAAGTCCACGACTTAATCCAGAACTCAGGATAGAGGATCCAAGACACAGGACTACAGCAAGAGGATCAGCCTCGACTCCGGATCCCGGCGTAGATATAGACAAAATGTGGCTGGGTTAATCGGAACAAGAGAATACACAGACACACACACAGACAGACAGACGGAAGAACAAGCACTCCCTTAGAATAGGTTGAGGGCAAAGGGTAGCAAGTAAGAGAGTAAGAAACATAGGTGGAGAGGCACAATCAGGGAACAAGGTCCCCACTGGAGCCTTAGTTGGAAATTGATGAGAGATAGGGAGGTTAGGTACGCTGTGTCTACGAATCGTAACACTCCCCGGCCTGTCTAAGCCACTCTACAAACCGTTTCCCTCTAATAAAACCTCGAGAGGTTAGAGAGGGAAAAGGTCTTGGATAAAGGTTATTCTTGATAAGAGAACCTAGAAGGCCAGAGAGAACAAGTGAGTTTTAAGTGTTGATTTAAAAACCCCCAGGGTCTGGGCCGACCTCACATGGAGGGGCAAAATGTTCCAGAGCCTGGGGCCCGCTGCTGCGAATGCTCGGTACCCTCGGGTTTTGAGCCTGGTCTTAGGCACTATCAGCGGCAGCTGATCAGCCGACCTTAAGGCTCTGCCTGGGGTGTAGCGATGGAGGAGATCGGCTACATAGGCCGGAGCCAGCCCATTTAGGGCTTTGAAAACAAATAAAAGGATTTTAAAATCTATTCTGAACCGAACTGGAAGCCAGTGCAATGAGGCCAGAATTGGGGTGATGTGGTCACGCTTTTTATGGCCAGTTAGAAGACGTGCAGCTGCGTTCTGCACTAGCTGCAGGCGTCTAATTGAGGCCTGGTCCATACCCACATACAGAGCATTGCAGTAATCCAGTCTCGAGGTAACAAAGGCGTTAATAACCCTTTCTAGTTCTTTAAAAGATAAAAACGACTTGGTCTTGGCCAATAGTCGTATTTAAAAAAAGCAGGTCTTGACTACGGTGCTGACCTGCTTATCAAATTTAAAAGCGCTATTGAAGGTCACTCCAAGGTTCATGACAGAGGGGAGGATGTTTTTATTGAGGGAGCCCAGAATATCAACCGGAGAGGCTGGAGGTCGGGGTCCAAAAAAGATGACCTCGGTCTTGCTCTCGTTGAGGGTGAGGAAGTTTTGGCTTCCTAGCCTTTGGATTGCTGATACTAACTGCTCCTTTTGTATCATCATATTATATAAAGCAAGTTATGTTTCTACTCAGGGTACTGTGGTTATCCAGAACATGAAGTCAGTACTGAACGAGGAAGGACAGTGGAAATGTCCTCATGAATTCAACCCTGAAAACTTCCTAAGTGACGAGGGAGAGTTTGTCCAGCCAGAGGCCTTCATGCCTTTCTGTGCAGGTAAGAATACCCACCTGTCATCCTCTGCTGTTTAAAAAAAAGAAAAAAGAACATGACTGATTTAAAATGTCCCAGGTCCTCGCATGTGTCCTGGAGAGCGTCTGGCTCAGATGAAGTTCTTCTTCATCATTGTGACCCTGCTGAGGAAGTTCAAGTTCATCTGGCCTGAAGATGCAGGAGAGCCAGACTACACCCCCGTGATGGGAGTCACTCTGTCTCCTCACCCATACCGCATAAAGGTCCAACTCATGACCACACAGTACATTATCTTTGTTCACACAGCAGGAGACACTGTAAAGAGTTATCTGGAACAACTCAAGAAGTACTCTAAAAGCACGTTTTTTAAAGATTCACGTATTCATAGGAATGACATGTATTATGGTTTAGTCAATTATAGTGTCCAATCAGAGCTGGAGAGAGAATACAACATCCGACTCAATGGCTCCCTCAAGTGGACAGAATTAGGTATTGGGTTTAATAGTTTTATTTCTGAGTGAGAACAGCAAGGCTGTAAATAGTTATAAAGTTTGTAATGGTAACCCGCTTTGTTATTCTAGACCTAAAGGTGGAATGTGTGCAATATGGGGTATGTACTGTAAATGGAATACATATTTAATATCTTGGCATTATTTAAATATTGTCAAAATGGTTGAATGCATAGTTGAGGCCTTTGACCTTCGAGGCTCATATTATAAATACATATAAATGGTTTGTCTTCTAAAACAATACAACAAGTGACTAGCACTTCATCTACGTGAATAATGAACATTTGTAGTACTTGTGAAAATAGATGTGACCTATTGAAATGGCCGGTAACTAACTACTGATCATTCATATTGTCAAGGTAAAATTATTTTAAATAAAAAATGTTGAAACTAATAAATAATGTCTGGATTTTAATTCCCTTTACACACATTGAACATTGTCACAGTTTGGTCATCACCCTTTTTTGTATATATACAGCTCGTTCTCTGATAATTCTGCTACTATTTATCCATCTATTAACAGAACAGTGACATCACACCCATTTGTATTGACGAATGTGGCCCCCCCGATGTGACCGTGCCCAGATTGAATCTGGCCGAACACTCAGCGCTTCAGATGAAAGAAGTTTTCCTTTTGTGACGATGTCAGTCAGTCAGAGAGAGACTGAGGGAACACAGTGTTCAGTCGCAGTGTGTGTGTGTGTGTGTGTGTGTGTGTGTGTGTGTGTGTGTGTGTGTGTGTGTGTGTGGGTGTGTGTGTGTGTGTGTGTGTGTGTGTGTGTGTGTGGGGGGGGGGTGGGTGGGGGTGGGGGGGAGGTGGCCTCGGATTGGAAGAGGCAGCAGGGGTGCACTGTAAGGACTACTAAACCCCAGAGGCATTGTTACTGTGCCAACGGGGTTCCTGCCATTTATGCTGATATCTTTGTGAAGCCCAGTCATAGTGCACAAGTGAAGCATGTATTGGTTAAAAACTGCACGACTGACACATTTATTTTCCATTTTATTTTCCCAAGCACCTTCATTAAACTCACCTTTTTAAATGTGCAAAGCAAACGGCAACAGCTTCGGTGAAGTCCAAGTCCCTTAGCAGCTATAACCATGAAGCCTGAGGGCCGAACCTCTTATTTTTCTAACATCTGCCATCTCAAATGGCCAGCTGGGAATAATGTGCCTGAGCTGGAGGTCAGGAGCGCCAACATTAATCTAAATGGGTCACAGAAACCCCAGGTCGCTGTTCTGCTTTATGCTTGGAAGAATACATTCATGGAAACTGCTGGGTTTTAGTGCCATTGTTCATCTTCCACTGTCAAGTTTTAATCTGGAAAATATAAAATACATGATACTAACTGGCATATTTTACGAAATCTCATATGGAGGTACAATGTTACCGTACAAACTATATTGGGAGTTCAGAGGTACAGAAAAGCTGTAAAAGAGGCATATAGATTTGGCACATTTTATTCTCAATATCATTATCAAGGCATTTCTTAAATGTTTTAGGATAAGGATCAATAGTATTGAAAAGTAAAGACTGCTGTAAATATTTACTGTGAAACCAATATTCTTCCTGGCTCCACAACTGAAGATTTAACACCTGTATACCGTGCATGATTGGAGAACATAAAATAGATGATCAGCTGCCTTGACTACCATCTCCTGAATTTATGTACGGATCGATTTATTTATTACCAGATATGTTGCCATTGGTTACACCTCTGCAGCTCAGTGACACCACTTAACAATGTCTGTTAAAGGCTGTGGGGTAGCATCCGTGAACAAGCCCTGACAAGATTAGACAATGGCATGTCCATAAAACACTTGCTATTAAAAGTAATGTCCTTTTTGACCTGGACAATTGCCAGTTATTACCAGACAATTTGGAGAGCCCTGCCCTGTCTGTGTGAAGGTTTACCTCATTACACTATCAGACTTTCTTCTGTTCACAGCACTGTGTTTGGCTGGTGACCCCTGTGGAGGAAACAGGCTGTTACATGTTAATTACAATGTGTGCATAACGGCCAAGCTGGGACATGCTGCTTTAGTGCCTGCACAGTTGTTTTGTGGAGGCCTCGGTGGAAGATGGGTAAAAGCAATGTGTTGAGCAGTGAGGGTCAGTTTTAAAGTATCTCGTAAATGGTCATAAGAGTGGAGACTAAACTTTGATTTATGTCTCATCAAATCCCAGTTAAGTTTAATTGTAAGTGTATTTATTCAGTTTCATCAGAGATGACTGGGAAGTGTTGGGAAAATAGGAGCAAAATCACAATTTCCCAGAATGTAATCATTACAATATTGAAATATGCAATTTGGGACACTATTCGTAACAATATTGCATTAGATATTTTGAGTGATACTCACCTGTCGAGGCCTTATAGTTATTTTTTCCTATGTGAATCAAATACAAATTAAGATATCATTTTTTCTATCTACCGATTGTTTTTCCTGATTAATAGTTTTTTCTATAAATTGTGAAAAAAGTCCATCATAACTTCCAACAACTCCACTTGACGTTTCGAATGTCTTTTCTGTAAAACAGTCCAACAATATTCAGGTTATTATACTACAAAAAAAAGAGAATGTTTCTCATGAATTTGGTATTTTTGCATGACAAAAGGCTTAAACAAATAATAGAGAATTAAAAAAAATGTGTTAGGAGTACCCATTTTGTCATCTCCATGTTTTGTTAATCACTCTTTCACAACTACATTTTTATACTGAATCCATCGTGCCGTAAACTTTTACATGCTATAAATACTTATTATTGGGAAATACCGTCTTTCTTCAATGTATCACCACACAGTTCTGTGTAACGTTCTCCACTGCTGAAATAATGTAAGAGCTCTAACCACCTCAAAAAACGGTGAGATTTATGTTTGCCACTCAAAACTACATTATTCTTAGAATGTTGACACACCACAGCGCTTGTAGCACGTGGAGGTGTAATGCTCTGCTTATACCACTAGGCGGGGCTGCACATTAACGCTAGGAGGCTGGCAGTGAGAGCTGGAGCTGGACATTGAGGTTTCTGAAGTAAACACAAGAAAAACCAGCTGCAAGACTGAAAGCAACCATGACTATTTGATAGAAATATAACAGCAAATCATCCAAGAGCATGGACTTGAATGCAATATATTTACCTAGCAGAAAGCAGTGCATTATTGCATTTTTCAAGGAAGATTTAAACTCCCAAAGTTGATCTTTAGAAACTTTACAAAACACTAAAACCCAGAACAGTTGAAGAGCTTTGTGGCAGCACTGATTCTTAGTTTAAATGGCTGATTTACACTCCGAACAGATGCATGTCTACATTGAAAAGGAGCTTTTGGGGAGCAACATCTACAGTCTAAGCGTAAAGAAATAAAGCTGGAATAAAGCAGTGACTACAAAGCCCACTGTCACAATTGTCCAGCAAATCAAAGGCATTTCTACGCTGGGTTACAGTGTATCATCTGATGCCAGCGCATTGGGTTAATTGGGACTAAACCAGATACATTTGTAGCAAAAAAAATGCCTCGATTAGGGGGCCCTAAGATGTGAGATCATGTGAACAGACCACCTGTGGGGCTTTCATTGCTATTTCAATATCATTCATGTCAAGGCCCCTGCACTTGCTGACACAGCTTGAGCCGAGGGAGAAGATGTTTCAATTCAGGCTCTGCGAAAAAACCAAACACAAGACACAGGGGCTCTGGCAGGTTTCAGGTCTGACAAGCCCAGAAAAGCGAGGGGTTCCAAAATGCTCTTTCAATTGTGGGACGTCCATCAAAGCATCCAAATGGGGACGTTTAGGGGGAACCTTGGCACATCAGACAGACACTCCTAATACACACCACCTTTATTCTAGGCCGTTAAAAAAGAAAGATCAAAGTTTCCGCAGATGAAAAGGGTCTGTTCCCTGCATTTATACCCCCATTCACCCACTCCCTCTTTTACTAAATTAAGAAAGCGGGCTTCGGCAGGCATGTGAAGAGGACTTCAACAATTATGGAGATGCTCCAACTCAACCCCTGCCTCTAATTACCGGTCTCTGATGGTTAAAAGGGCTTCCTTTTTAGCCGGGACTCTCAAAAGCTGCTATTGCTGCTGCCATCCTCAACAAGGAACCACAAAATATGCCTGCACAGGCTCGAAAACACAACAGCCTATTTTAGGATTGGGAAAACAGCGCAGTTACACAGATGTGTTTGATTTATCAAATGTTTTATTGTCAAAATAAAGTTCATATTTGTGTTCTCACAAAAAGAGACATCTACACTTTGTACAAATTTACAATAGCTTATAAAGTTTTCTTTTATACACAAATGTACACATTTTTACTTATCTTTTATATAAATACATTTGAAAATTACAAAAATGAACGACCAGTAAAATACTTGGGCACTATTAAGGCTTAATTTAAACCATCTTTGATTGAATTATACAATGTTATCTGGCACTAGATACAATGGCAAATGCTCTTTGTATGAAGCGAGTTAGGAACAAAACGTTCTCTCTCCCTTCAAGAAGTAATGCCCAGGTTGCGTAAAAGCCTCAGTCTGTACGTCTTATACATAAAAACATGGAGGAATTAACCTGTGTGAATGTCAGGTACATTGTTTCAACCAACTCTCCCCACAGAGGTGTGTGAGTTTGAGAGAATGAGGGGGAAGGATACCTCAGCAGCAGTTCATTACTATGCAAATTGCTTAAGACAGGGACTGATGGGTTATCTCCCAAACAATTAGCAGTCCTCATAAGCTGCTTTTTCTCTCATTCAAACCTGGGACAATGGCATCTGCTTGGGGCAAGACACAGAGCTGGCCGTGCCTGACCTCCACGTTAGTCCGGTGCTCACGTCACTGTACATGGAGCCGCTAGTGCCTTTACTGCCCCAGCAGCATCTGGTGCAAAAAGTCCTCCAAGAGTCCAAAGTTTTCCCAGACCAGATCCACACCCCGGACGTGATGCCCACTAAAAGGCACATAAAGTACTTTAACATAAAAACGGCATAGTCCGGGCTCCTGCGGTCCCTCTCCAGTAAACAGTTGGAGCAGTTGTGTGTGATCTCCCAGCTCTGCCTGTTGTGTTGTTCATAAAAGTAACAGGCTACTATGATAGTGGCTGGCACCGTGTAAAGCACAGTGAAGATGCCAATTCTTATCATCAGCTTCTCCAGTTTGTCTGTTTTGGTGCCACCCTGTTTGATGACGCTGCGGATCCTGAACAGAGACACAAATCCGGCCAGGAGGAACATAGTGCCTATGAATAAATAAATCACCAAAGGGGCTAGAACGAAGCCTCGCAAGTTGTCCAAGTTCTGGTTCCCCACGTAGCAGATGCCAGCCACTGAGTCTCCGTCCACGGAGCTCAGCGCCAGCACCGCGATGGATTTCATGCTGGGGATGAGCCAGGCGGCCAGGTGGAAGTACTGGGAGTAACTGGCGATCGCCTCGTTGCCCCACTTCATACCGGCTGCGAGGAACCAGGTCAGAGACAGGATGACCCACCAGATGGAGCTGGCCATGCCGAAAAAATAAATAAGCAGGAAGACCACGGTGCACAGTGCGGGGCCGGTGGTCTCATAGTGGATGTGCTCCAGGTCAAACTCCCGGTTACACGCCACTTTCTCATGTCCCGCGATCAGTCTCACAATGTAGCCCACTGACACGAACATGTAGCACGCTGAGAGGAAGATGATGGGTCTCTCTGGATATTTGAACCTCTCCATGTCGATGAGGAAAGTGGCTACTGTGGCAAAAGTTGACACGAAGCACAACACGGACCAAAGTCCTATCCAAAAAGCGGTGAATGCTCTCTCGTCGTGCGTAAAGTAGGGATTGTGGCAAGGCATGGCACAGTTTGTGATCTGACCTGTTTTGACCCGGTTGTAGAGCGGGTGACGGTCCGTGTTCACAGGCACCATGGGCTCCAAACACTTGCACCCCGGCTCACAGGGGGTGGCAGGCGGCTTGTATTTCCCAGACGCGCCGGGTCGGCTGGGCTTATTTTTAGGAGGATTGTAACCCTTACCGGGGTGGTTGGTTGGTTTGGAGAGGACAGGGGAAACTGTGGTGGAGTCAGTTCTGTTGTAGTCCATGCACAGAGTGTCGGGGTTGCCTTGTACCGGCAGCAGGTCACACTTCATCCTGTCTGGCCAGGGGAAGCCGTACTGCCGCATGAGAGGCGCACAACCAGCCCGGGCTCTCTCACACACGCTCCGGCACGGGGGCAGAGGTTTCTTATAGTCATCCAGGCAGATCGGGGTGTACATGCTGCACAGGAAGAACTTCAGGTCCGGGGAACACTGGATCTCAACCAGAGGCCAGAACTGGTGCACCTCCAGTCCAGCCTCGTCCTGCGTGTCGTGGTTAAACTGGTTAGGCATGTAGGTGTAGTTGTAGCCGATCCCTTTGCACAGGGGCACGGCTATCTCCTGGCAGGTGATCTCCTTAGCCGTGGTGCAGCTGGATCGGGGAAGGAGAGCGAGGGAGAGGAGCAGGTAAATCCCAAACAGATCCATCCCTCCGGCGCGTCGTGTTACCCTCTGGTACCGACAGCAGTAGATCCCCTCAGCCGTCTGCTTCTGCCTCTGCTCCGGTTAGATGTTGCGCGGCGAGCCCATCTCGCTTCTCTCGGGGGTCTTGCACGGAGTTGCAAGCAATGTGCAAGCCGTGTTTACTTTCAGCTGAGGAGGAGGAGAGAAAGCAGCCTTCAGGGCGGCGAGCAGCAGTCAAGATGGCTGAGAGGAGAATCCCCCTTCTCCTGGAAACAGTATCCTCACACAGTCTGTTATTAAAAAAACAAGTGCTGCCATCCAATCGCTCAAAACGAGAAAAATGTGGCCCTCCTTTCTTTCTTTCTTCAAAATACAGCGACTACATTCAGTCGGCTCGTCCCACTTTAGTCCTGGTTCCCATACAAATCAACGGCTGGGGGACGAAGCGGTGCCGATATATACCAGAGCCTCCCAGGCCACACCCCCAGAGCCTCTTCTCCAATCACAGAGCAGTAGAGGCGGTTCGATACAGCAGTCAATCATGTGTTTCACCAAAATATGTTTTGTTATGATAACGAAATGATGATAGTGGTAGTTGTGCCAGTGTCTTTGGCACCAACATACAGTATTAGAGAACAATATGGAACTAAATATTACCTGCTTCAATGATGACCATAAATCAAACTGCCACATATTGACATAAAGTAAGTACTTTTATCCATTTATCATTCAAATTCCCACTTTTCACAAGAGCGCAGACGTCTTACATAAATGGGACCAAGCCCAATAAACGTTAAGAACCCTTTAATGAATCCCTAATTCTTACTTATAAGACATACAGTATAATTAAAATAATATTAAAGTAGTTTTACATTTTGAAGTATACCAGACGCGCTGTTTGTAAGAATAATAACCTACTATTTTCATAATCTTCCTCAGCGAATTAACTTTCTGTGCACCGTCTTGTAACTTCCAACACTTAAATAGTGTCACAACAAAAGTAACATGCACAGCAGCTCCATACGATTGTTTCTGTGTGTGTGTTTGAGAGGGAACAGTTTGGTAAATTGGCTAATTTGCGCATGATGAGACTACCCAGGGAGCTGTCTGTCCTTGTGAAAAGCTGTTTTATTTTTTAAATGAGGTGCTAATGTTCCGTTTAAGGCTTGCATAGAGCTCCGCGGGAGGCGTAATTGCGCGAGGCAAAGACCAACAGAACAGCACACAGAGAGAGAGGCACAGTTTATATCAACGTTAACATGCTTAGGTTTGTGTGTCTGGGGATCTTGTTAGTTATTTCACAGCAGAGTTATGGTGGTAAATGTCTTTTATTGTCTCATAACTTCGGAATAAAGACGTGTGCCTTTGCTTATGGCATCTCCTGTAGCTTGATCACATGATCAATATTATCATATACTTTTGCATTGATATGCAGTGGTGTAAAGAAACTAAGTGCATTTACTCAAGCACTGTACTTAAGGACAATGATGCTTTCCCCAATTGTTTAGAATATAAAACAGCTATATTTGATGGATTCAATTTGGCATAAAATATTTATACATTGCATCACATGTAAAGTGTATAAAGTATTAAAACAAAAATATCTCTGCGAATAACAAAATGTAACACTTAATTTGTCCTTATGATCTAATATTAAATGTACATGATAAATAAAAAATGTTTAGCACGTTAACTGAATACTTTCCTTTAAAATATGTTACAGAAATACTAAAGTGCTTTCATATATTCTGTTACGTGCTCCCCCCCCCTCTCACTCTCCTCTCTTTTTTGCACCGGTGCTCCTGATCTGTGCTCGGCTTCACCTTTCCTCAGGTGTTCCTCATCTGCCATGATTCCCCATATTTAAGGACGTTTGGAGAAGATGCTCTAGTTTGTCTGCCTGGCTGAGCAGTCCTGAGTGGACTTTGGTTCAAGATGTTTTGCTTTTTGTTTCTTTTTGAGTCTGGAGAATCTGGTAGTCCAGTTTTCGCGGCTTTGTTTCTCAGTTTAGTTTATGCATTTGCCTTTTAGTTTAGGGGGGAGGTTCTGGTTCCGATGGCCCCTGGTGTGGCTGGCCCAGGCTTCCTCCATCTTTTTGTTCTTTTTGGCCAGTCCTCCAGATTCCAATAGTTTGCTTTAATTTGATTTATTCGGAGAAAAATTATTTGTAACAGTCTCTCAGGTTTGGCGTCTCAAATATGTGTTGCAGGTCACACATTGAGCCACAAATGCTTTCTTGTGGCCGTCACACAACATAACTTCAACATTTTCATTATTATAGATTAATACAAATTTGATAATTTTTCAAGATTCTACCTCAAGTTAATCTTATGAGTTATTGACACTTCATACTGATCATTTGCACATATACATCTTTCTCTGGGATGATAACGCAGTGATTGTACAAAGATAAATTCACAAAGGATGTATAATTGATATTTAATTATTGTGAAAATCAGAAAATCACAGACTGTTAGAGGATATATGCAGCTTCTGTTAAAACGAGGCACGAGAAGCAAACCATGTGATCAGCACATCTGTTCGAAACTTGATATTCATTTCACCAAGGAGAGGAACGTGTTTTTGAATAGACATTTTGTCCTCCGCTGTGCACATGTGTGGAGTTTGGGTGCTCTGAGGCCAATGTATGGTAACAGTGTGAGTGTTTAAAAAAGCATCTATCTCCCAGTTTGTCCTCCAAGCATGATCTTGTGTGCTGGTGTTTAGAGTTTAAGTTTAGTGGTATTTAGTTTGGAGTGGAGCCAGGACTTTATCATGTGAGGCAGATTTATTTTCAGCATGGACCCACAGAAAGAATGAAACAACTGCATTTCACGGATTGATTAAGTGACTCACCAGTTTCAGATAACGTGGAAGGAGCTCTGTTGATGGCTGTTTGCTTTTGATTAGGAAACAAGAGTTCGGCTGGCCAGTGAGTGTATGTTTGTGCACACGATGGAAGGCGTGATATTCTCTCAATAATAAACCCTGGTGTTTCGGGTGAGTGAAAAACGGACACATAATGAAAAGGGAGTGAGGATAAGATGGTGGGAGATTGATGAAGGGAGGGTAGACGAGGGCAAGAGAGGGCGTCAAGCCTGTTCCGTGTAGAGATAATGATTGACTACGAGGAAATCCACTCACCTCCAGTGTGCAACGCAGGGCTGCACACTGTGAGAAAACATCCCCCTAGACCAAAGCCTTGAGGAAACACTCTGTGACCAATGAATAAAATCCAGAATCACATCGAGATCCCAAGTTAATGTGTCAGAATCAAGTGCTCTGGCTGAAGAAAAGAAACCCATCAAGTGTGACCGCTTGCCAGATCCTGGACTTACCTCAGAGATGGTGAGACTGAGATATGCTAATGCGACTTTATCTTGTAAAGGAAAGCTTCGAGGAGATTTAGCCAATCTGCTGGACACAATTCCAAGAGCCTCGGTGGCATTTAGCAGGCTCGCGCTAACCCGGGGCTGCTTGTTAAGACTTCATTAGCTGTGTTTGCTCAGGCCTCTCCCCTCCAAAGAGGTGGAGGAGGGCTCCCCAGGCCCAAGCTTCAGCCCCACTATAGACACTCCATATGGGGCTTGTTTGCTCATGGCTGGCCTGGTAATCACTTTCAGGTGGAGCTGGAGGAGACGACGCAAGGCTGAGGGGATTTTGGGGAGAGCTGGAAACCTTCCCCCCCTCTAGCCCCCGAACCCCCGCCGACAACCTCCTTTTCCACCGGGGTACTCCTGAGGTGACAGAGTGTGGAGCGTGTACTCTGTGAATTAGCTCACCTAGGGCCCATTACCTTAACAAACACAGCCAGCCCCTCCAATCAGCCTACTGCTGGGATGACAGGCGGCCCCTGTAAATCCTTCCTTACAGCCACTGTCCCACTCTGTGAGACTAAGGAGGACTTGTGTGTGTGTGTTTGCATGTAGAGTAAGGACTATAAACCCAAGTGTAGTAAAGGCATTGTCTTGAAGCAGCCAATTGCAGCTTTAATGGTTGCAAGAGTTAGTTACTTTCGAAAGTTGAACTTTACTACCCAGATGTTTTAGGACTTATCCTCAGTCTGAGACGCAACACACAAATGAGACAAAATGATTTACAGATGTAGTTGCTTTTTAAAAAAAATGAAATTAATTGATGCTTTGAATACCACACACAAATGAATGTACTGCTTTCTACTAAGGGACTATTTATATGACTAGAACTTGCAACAAGTGGCTCTGTAAATGGTCAATAAACCATTTAGTGGTCTATAAATAACTCACAAGCCATCAATGACGACAGTTTATCATCATTACTTCAGACTAGCTGGTTTAGGCCCCGTCCACACGGAGACGATATCAGTTGAATCCGCTATGGTATAGACCAGGGGTGCCCAACCTTTTTTGAACCGAGAGCTACTTTTAAAGTTGCCAGTTTGCCGAGATCTACCAGTCCAAATAGAGAGGTGTAGCCATTACTGACAGCCTACTACCAGGTAAATACACACTTCTACTTGTATAAAACTGACCTTTGTACGATTAATACTTCATAAAATACTGCAGATCCTTTATCTTACCTCTTTCTAATCTACACACATACAAGTATTTAACTGAAGTTACACAACAGTGTTGTTGATACAGAGTTGGAGTTTATTCACACGTCACTACAGTGGGTTATGTTTTCAAGAAACATTGAACAGTGCTGCCACATATGACACAGGGAAAAAAGAAAAGACTCTGAACCCTTTCTTTGACATTATATAAAAATAGTGTTGCTACAAAAGTATAAATTAGGCTTACTAATAAGACAACTCAGATCTGAAGTTACACAGGAATCTGCTGCCAAAGTGCAATAAAAAAGACCAAATTAATAGAATCAAACCCTTTTTTTGATGCATTTTAGTAGATTATAAAAATAAATGCCTTTTAAAATAGGATGCAAGCAACACTAGTTTCTTAACCTGAATTGATGACTATAATCAATTTAAGTTTGCATTCTTATACCATTTTGTACAATAATTATAATGAATTAATTCAAACAAACTCAAACTTACAGCTGATTAATAACGGTATCTAACTTGAGTTTTTATCATATCAAAAACCTTTTTGAATGCTACTGTTATTTTTAGTGTCACCAAAAAGCGCGTCGCAGCCTCCAGGAATGCTTCTTTTACAACTTCGCCGTCTTTGAAAGACTTCATGTGTTTCGCAAGAACGTGACTGACACGATAAGATGCTATGATAGCAGCCTTGCTCTTGTTGTTGGGCCTGGTGAAAATGGACTGCTGTGCATTTAGCTGTCCTTTCAGGCCCCTCCCCTTTTGGAGCGTAGGGCAGAATTAGGAGGGAATTCCGTCTCTTAGCGTTTGTGCACTGTTTTGAAATGCCGCTCCTAAATTACCCTTCTTCGATAAAGCCACGCTCGCATTACAGA